ACACAGATTCCTTTGGGGTTGTGTCAGTAAACATGCAGAGCTATCTACTGTGGCAGCTCCTTGAGAATAAGGGAGCAATCGTTTAGAAACCCTGCATCACTCCCTGGAGACACTTCCCTAACTCAATCCTGTCTGTCCTCCAGGTGGTGCTATTTCTAACATGTACGCCATGCTGCTGGCCCGCTTCAAGATGTTCCCTGAGGTGAAAGAGAAGGGAATGTCATCCGTTCCCAGACTGGTGGCCTTCACATCCGAACATGTAGGCATGCGTGTTTAAAATCCGCTCGATTATTTCCTCACGGCATCGTCAGTGTGTGTCTGCTTGGCTCAAACGGTGAACACTGAACACTATTTGGACAAATGTCAAAAAATTTATCTTTCAGCCGCTAGAATAACACAAAAAAGATCTCATGGTAACTGTGGCTGTGCTTGATGTGTGACTACGTGTCACTTTAACTCCACCGCTGCTGATAAAAAGCTGACATTATGCACGCCGCATGCAGAAGGACACGAGGTGACTGGTGTGCCTGTCACCTTCATCTTTAAAGGACAGCTGAAAGATGCTGTGAGGAAAAAAGCAATGAAATTACAAACAAATCTGTCATAAGACGTACATATTTACGGATCCGGTCACTCATTATCTTTTTTTTCCCCCTCGTCTTCAACACTTAGAGCCATTTTTCAATCAAAAAAGGTGCAGCAGCTCTCGGCATTGGGACTGAAAGCGTGATCTGCATCAAAGCAGATCAAAGGTAAAGCTGGCTTCAGTCGTGCATCATACTTCAGTTAAACCATGAGGCATATTCATTGTTTTTGATGTTAAAAACACTCGATATAGGAACAGTTATTATTGTATTATTGTGGAGAAACACTACAGCCTTCTAATCTTCACAAACTGGTTTTATCCAAACCAATAAGGCCTAAAAACCTGATAATGTTCACAAGTAACAGTAAAAATGTGTCTTTCCTGTTCAGCTTAGGATTCAAATTTATATTTCATCTTGTGACCCTTTAAAAGAAGTCCAAACCCTAGACTGGAAAACACTCGATGATGTGTAACTCTAATACTTAACAATGAGTCATGACTATTTGTAACCTTATAATATGATATGAAATCCTTTATATATTACTGCTTATAGTTGTACTTAAAGGGACAGTTCCTCCCAAAATTACATTTACATTGTTTTCTCCCTCTCATCTGTGTTTCGCTTTATCCATCTGATCTGTTTTGTGCTCAGTTTTGGAGAGATGTCCACCTCTTGAATCTAATGGAACTCTCCTCGAGGCGTTAAGAGCATCAAACAGACTATCAGCGTTGTCTCTTTCAAGTAATCATGAATAGGTCAACCGAATAACCTACAAAACTGTTTCCATTGCTCACATTCCCCAACCAACGGAAGTAGTAGCTAACATTAAACATTAAAGTCAAGAGAGGTGACATTAATGTTTACAGCGTGCCTGGAAGAAAATGGATGAGCGGGTGGATTTTGGCTTGTATAGTCACAGTTTGAGCATTATGGACGGGCTGGGGGTCCAAGCCCATCCATAAAGGTCACTGTACCCCCTAAATTGAATTCTACTGGCATTTAGAACTAAAAGTAAAATTAAGCAATAAAATTTGGCAATAAAAAAGTTTAATACCTCAAATGTTGTAGTAACAAGCATGACAGTGTTAATTATTAGGTTAAATACCAGAGTAAGTCAAGTCTTATGCCTCCCTGTCAAAGTTAGTTGCCCATCCACTCCATGTGCTCTGGTGCCGACCCTGTCCTGTCCCTTTAAGTAGAATTTCAAATGCAATACTTGCACTTATATTTTCTGTATTTCTGTTCCTGTGCTGCCTTTTGTTTTTAAGGTAGAAGGCCTTCTTTGCCCACTGACAGTATGACAAACAACGTTAAAGCCAACTAAAGCTTGTTTTCCCTTTGCAGCGGTAAATTGATCCCAGCTGACCTTGAGAGGCGAATACTGGAGGCAAAACAGAAGGTAAGATGATGTACATTTATTACCCTGCTATAAATAGACAGATATAACTTCATACAGTTTTGATTTTATGGGGTGCGCTCGACTGAAACTGCAGAGATGATGAGGGAAATTTGGGAACATATTGTAACAACATAACGGCCTCATATGCAGTATTTTGGTTGCTCTTGTGCAGGGTTTTGTACCTTTCTTCGTAAGTGCGACTGCTGGGACAACAGTGTACGGAGCTTTTGACCCCCTCATTGCCATTTCTGACATTTGCAAAAAGTACAACATCTGGATGCACGTGGATGTGAGTAAAGCTTCCTGATTTATTTAAAGTGTCACATTGACCTTTCACATGCGGGATTTTTGGAGTGTTTGTGCACAAGAGGGATTTTAATGGAGGCGTACACAGAAGCAAAGAGCTCACCTCTGAGTTTGACAAATCTATTATGTCTGTCTCGCCTCTAACTGCTTGCGGTTGACCCAGATAGAGAGCGCGCCATTTCCTATCTAACACTGGAGATTAGAAAAACTGGAACAGAGGCTGTAAATCATCTCCTCCCCTGACTTTACCATCATGGGCCGTCTCACTGAAGGAACTCTATCTCTTAATGAAAGTGATTTAGTCCTGACAGGGGGACACCTCTATTAAGAGCAATAAATGGCCTTGTCTGTCATCCCTCAACTAGCTGAGATGGGTAAAAAAAAAGCACGCACGCATGCACACATGCACACACACACACACACACACACACATTGTGATTGTTAATCATTTTCATTGGTTTATCTGCTAAATTTTCTAGCTACAGCTCCCAGAAAGACATATACTCACTTATTAATGCACTTTATGTGGTACACCTTTGGCCCCCTTTTTGCCCTCAGGTCTGCCTTAATTCTTCCAAACATAGATTTAGCGAGGCGCTGGACACGCTCCTCAGGGGTGTTGGTCCCTTTTGACATCACACCATTGCACAGTTGCAGCAGATTTGTTGTCTCGACATCCATGCTGCTAATTTCCCATTTCACTCCATCCCAGAGGTCCCTATTAGATTGAGATCTGGTGACAAAAAGTCAAAGTTGTGCATTCAGAGATGCTCTGCTTCATACTTTGGTTATAACGAATAATTATTAGAGTTACTCTTGCCTTCGTATCTGCAGTGCGGCCATTCCGTTAAGACCTCTGACATCAGTACGACATTTTCACCCTGACAACAGCCACACATCGGATATTTTTGCTTTTTCAGGCCATTCTCTTTAAACCTTAGAAATAGTTGTGTAAGAAAATCCTGATAAAACAGCAGTTTCTGAATTACTCAGTCTGACTCCAACAACCATCCCACATCAGTTAAATCACCTTTCTTCCCCATTTTTATGCTCAGTTTGAGCTTCAGCAGGTCGTCTTGACCATGTCAATGTCCATGACCACATCACTCAGATGTTGCCATGTGATTGGCTGATTAGATATATTCATTAGGAAGCACTTGAACAGATGCAGTGTATATATTCATAGACAAAACAGTGATATTAAAGTGTACTAATACTACTACTGTGTGTGTGTGTCACAAAAATAGTCCCTGTTGTGTTTTTAAATATTAAATATTAAATGAGGTTGGGCTAGTTGGCAGAACTTCTACAGAAATCAAAGGCTTTAGTGCTGGAGTGTTAAACATGTGGCCAGGGGGCCAAAATTGGCCCACCCAGGTGTCTAATCAGGCATTGTAGATGGCTTTGCAAAATAGGAAAAATGCAAAGGAGCTTGGCATACATGTTGGAGTATTTACTGTGTGAGTGGATGAAGTCAGTAGTACACAAACCATTAAATGACAGGAAATTGGATATAAATTTTTTTACAGTAAAAAAAACATTTTCTATTAATTAAAACAGCAATTCTTTTTTTTAACTTATGGCACAAAGTTCGGGTAATGAGCTGCCAGTATAATGTCTGTCATTTATGTGCTTAGACTTAATTTTTGAAAGTTTAACCGCAAGGAGCAGTGCCGAGGTTTTTTTTATTTACTACAGCAGTACTTCTTTGTATTGTGGAAAAACTGAGACAGTTCATTTTTCTTAAGACATGTCAGGATTTCACCATCAGTTTTATACACGGATGGTTTATTAAATGTGGATGCTAATGTCTTTCATCTCTTCGTGTTTCAGGGAGCATGGGGAGGAAGTCTGCTCATGTCCAGGAGACACAGGTGGAAGCTGGACGGAGTTGAGAGGCGAGTAACTGTTTTATGTGGTTTGGCCCCAAATGGGCAAATATTATAAGCTAATGAGCATTTGATATAACGTTGAATGATGGCTGGTTCTTTTTGTTTTGTTTTTTTTAAACTGCAGGGCCAATTCAGTCACATGGAATCCACACAAAATGATGTCTGTCCCTCTGCAGTGTTCTGCCCTGCTGGTCAGAGAGGAGGTAGGCCTCAATTTCTCAGCCCCATGCTGCGTGTTCCTGCTTTTGTTTATTGAGGTGATTCTGTAAATGCTCTGGCTCCCACTTCACAGGGTCTTATGCAGAACTGCAACCAGATGCACGCCTGCTACCTATTCCAGCAGGACAAACACTACGATCTTTCTTACGACACCGGAGACAAGGCGCTGCAGTGTGGACGTCATGTGGACATCTTCAAGCTGTGGCTCATGTGGAGAGCTAAGGTAATATAAATATAAATATAAAGTTTGATGATTGTAAGCAGCTATTAAAAGGGTATAAATAATAATATGCTAGAACACTATAATCACTATAATGGTGTACCGTCTGCAAAAATGTATATATTTGGCAGCATGGGTCTGTTCTGGGACCTCCTTGGCCTTCTGCATCATTACATGCAAAGCTAGAGGCAGGGAGAGCAGCAGCAAGACCTCACCTTTGATTGATAAAGTGATGGCATGCTGCTACAGAGCAGAAATCAATAACAACGGCCGTACTATTTAGTCAGACACAGCTAGAAAAGGAAGAGCTGTGGATCCAGATGTGTTGCAAAGCAGCTTGCAGATTTAAGAATGTTAAACTGTCTTAAAAAGTGCATCTTGTGAAAGATTTGTGAGTCTAATGGTTAGAAGAGTATCAGATGAACCATCAGCTGATGCTGGCTGTCATTAAGCTAATCCAACTGTTGTCAGACTGTTGCAAATGCTTTCTCTTTTTTCAGTTAATTAAGCTGCTTCCACTTGTTTCACTTTTCATTTTTGTTTTGGCTCTGCTATATTATATTAATGCATTTTTTTTTTTTAAATTGCTTATGCATAGATTATATATGAAAGCTTCTCAAAATTTCAGTCATTCACCCTTCTAAGGAAATGTATCAAAACTCAGAGAAAAACTTTGTGAGTCAAAATTAAAAATAAAAAATAAAAACCTGAAATTTTGAATTATGGATGTCAAAAAATTAAATGACGGAAACTGAGTTTAACTTCGGAGAAGAGGACAAACTCTGAGATCCTACAGCAACTTCTAAATGTCTTTTAGTTGTTTGTTGTCATTTTAAAATTGCTTTTATACTTTAATCTATATACTAATATATATTAATTCAGTATTTATTTATTGTTTGAAAGTGTCTTGTGTCGTGGATACGTGACATCAGGTGGGGGAAAAACACCACTTTTGAGTTTTATGGACCAAATAAGATGCCACCCAGGTTTTCTGCTGGACACGCCCCATTTCAAGGGACCAGATGACCAGATTTAAATCACATGGTCAAATATTCAACCTATCCTTGTTGGTCCCTCATTGGCTAAAATGCATTTGGCTGCATATGTAACACGTTTTAGATTGACCCTGATGAAGCCCGAAGCCAAACGTTCTCTATACTATATAATAAATTTATATACTGCTGTGGAGTTTGAGCAATTACAGATAAACATCTTTTCTTTGACAGGGCACCATTGGGTTCGAGGCTCAGATTGACAAGTGTCTGGAGCTGTCCGAGTACCTCTACAACAAGATTAAAGACAGGGAAGGATACGAGATGGTCTTTGATGGCAAAGTATGCTCACATTCATCTTTCACTCTCTCTAAAGGATAATTCATCTGCAGTCACACAATCATGGAAAAGTAGCTGACATTAGCCCATGTTGCTCCTTTTTCCTCAGTGTCATTATTGCTGACTTGATTTCCATGCAGAGTGTTCTGGCTTTGAGTTGGATGAATGCCATTTTTACCTCCAGATGCCAGTGTAATGTGCTGCTATTATGTTTAATGAATAGCATAACGGCCCATAATTGCTCATATGCATATGAATAGCGTGGTGTCTGAAATATCCTGCACTAAACTGAAGTACAACACAAACATATGTGGGGATGAAGAAAACTCTCTTATGAAAGGGGTGCTTGGACACATGGGGTAATTTATTATGAAAGCTCTTTAATGTTTCAAGCCTTATTGTTTTCCTGCTGAGCCCCAAAAAGGCTATGAGCATCATAACCCAGAGGGGGATGAGAAAAAGCCAAGTCCTCTGGGCAATGGCCCAGGTGCTCACTTGTCTGTGCCTTCCATTGAGCCATTACATCAATCTGATGTTGAATATACTACAGCCAAACCAGCCCAGCTGTATAAATGAGGCTGGTGTGCATGGTTAGTCAGCTGTTGGTAATGAATGCCCTTCCGCTCTTATGCAGACAGGCAGGCAGGGAGTTCTTGCAGGGATTTGGGTGCCAGAAAATAGTACTGTGAGGAGCTTTCAGACATCTAGTGACAGAAGGCACGCTACCTGTCCGATGCTGTAAACTCATATTGGATTGTTGCTCTGGGATGCAAATCAGCATTTTCATTCAAAATCAGTTTGACTTAGGATACGAGCATTTTAATGTCATAAGATTTCTGCAGGATTTTAGGCATGAATAGCTTTGAATTCTACAAAACGGCTGTATACCATGTTTAAACTGCGTGTTTAAAGGTGTAGGTATATGCAATATGCACACAGACTGTATATAAAAGATGGACATAGCCGCCTCATCCATGTTGAATCCTTAATTTTCAGAATTGGTTAGTGCTAAATTATATCACCTCTGCTGTCTGGCCCTGCCTACTATATTTTTTTACTTTGCCATATATAATTAAATTCATAATTTGTCATTACATAAAAAAGTAGAACATATTCTACACCAGGGTCATTTTGAAGTTTTAAAGATGTGCACACCAAGACCTGCTCCAAAATTTAATGGGCTTATGAGTAATCATTACTCTCGTTTATTTTTTTATACAACTGCACTCAATCGCTGTTTGTTTTTCCTCAGTTTATTCCTCTTATATCTTGTCGTCTGTGTGTCCCCTCAGCCTCAGCACACCAACGTCTGCTTCTGGTACCTGCCGCCTGGCATCCGCTACATGGAGGACAAAGAGGAGAGAAAGAAACATCTGCACAAGGTGGGTACTCTCAGATAAGAAGTCTCACTGTAGTATCTCCCCAACACAACTTTCACGAGCCGCGTCATTCATATCCAGCTCGACTATCACACATCTTTCTAATTAGGGGCAGCTTATACTCGGGATTAAAATAATACTTTGCCCTGCACATGAGGAGAAAAAAAATGGCAGCGGTCTTAAACAGGACACAGAGTACGGGTTAAAAAGAAGTGAGGCTTTTCAGCTGGCTAATGTGGTGGCCATTCAGAGGATACCACAGCAGCAGGGGCCTCATAATTGACAATCAGGACAAACAGATGGCGTTCGTGTCTGCCATGCAAAGACCACTTCTCTCTCTTCTCTCTCTTCCCATTGACTAAAATCGTTACCAGCTTCATCATTGCTCTGCAAATGCAGATGTTTCCCTTTGTTTTCTTTGAAAGATTACTTGAAAAAACACCATGGTCATGCTTCACCGAGTAGACAGACTGACTGGACAGCTTTTCCACACTCTGACTATGAGCCCGAGGGGTGATGTAATGCTGCCAGATTAGCACTTTGAGGAAGAGCTAAGAACTGAAGGAGCCCTCATCAGTTTCGACGTGTCTTAATGACATCCTCTAATGGATGAGGAGAATGGGAGGAACTGTTAAAAGATTGATTTGAGGGAAATCAGCACACAGTAAATTATTTTGCAGCAAGCACGCCAACTGCAGTGAGACACCTGCAAGACATTAGGAAAAAAAATGACTGATTATGTGATGAGAGCTGTATGGAAACAACTAACTAATCTAGCAGGCAGTAATCTGAAACTGAAGCCAACTTCCTCGAGAAGTTAGCTGAGTGTTAAAGCCTGTTTTGGTAATACCCACAGATTTATTAAAATTCCTGCACGATTATTCTGGGTCATATGAGCCACGGTTAACTTAAGCCCTTAAGCTAAAGCTGCACTCAAACTGTCACTTGAACTTGCTGGATCTCATCTGCATATCCTGAAGTTGGTCACGATGAAACCTTTTTATACAAATCCTCTAACCAACCAAGCCCTAAAAATGATATTCCAGAGACACAGACGCTGAGGAGTTTTCTCTCAGTGAGCCGTCTAACAGGCCAAGCGTCGGTCAAAACGAGCACTGAGAGTTTCAGACATGAAATTGAATCTGTCGCCGCACATCACTGCAAAGAATCTACACCACCATCGTGACTCTGCTGAGTACAAAATAAATGAGCATCACCCCTCGCTTTGCTCTTAGAGATAACCTCTCAGCGTGGCAGGAGTAGCAGTCATGGGGCTGTGCACCCAGCTGCTGTTACATTTAGCTGTCAGACCGATGGGGGGTAAATGACCTACATGGTCTGTAGGTCTGATGAACCTGGGAAGAACTTAGACTTGTATAAACAAACAAGCACCCATTTAGATCCGATTACACAGAAAGAGAAGTAGTCAGGCAATACTCTCCCAAACTGTTCGTGCAATTTGAGTTAGACAACAGTTAACAACCATGTAAAATGTAAAAACACGAACTAAAGCTAATAAAATGGGATATTATCTGTGAAAAAAAGTAGTTCTGCAATCAAATCATTTAAAGTACTGAGAATAAAATATTGTTTTCCTACATTTTTATTTTAAAAATTTAAAAATGCAAGTAAACAGTGATTACTTTTATTATATGCACACAAAATTTATGAGAAAATGTCAAGATCCTACAGTCGTCCCAGGGTTTGCTGAATTCTTGTTCTTTAATAATTTTGTGTTTCTTTTTTTTTTTTAGTTTTGTTTAGGTTTTGTTTTGCTCTTGAGCATTTTTAGCCTTTAGGTGTTATTATATTTGAGTTCTGTTTACTGTATGCATTATTGCAGCTTTATTTGCCCCATTGGTATTTCCCTTCATCTCCTCATCTCGTCCCATCTCTTCTGTTAAGTTCACTCAAGTTCTGTTTGTCCTTATTTGAGTATATTTCCTGTTTTCGTTTTGTGGTTGTTTGTTATTTCCCCTTCAGCCTCATTAGAAAATTAATAAACTGCTGTAGTAATCTGCACAAAATGAGTATGAGTTGACGTAAATAGAAGAAGGACACAAAATGACCATAAACAAACTCAAAGCAAAACA